GGGGTGGGAGGGACTGGGGTGTGCCCTGAGAAACACGGCAGGGGCAGGCTCAGAGTCCCAGTGAGCTCAGGCTCTGCCACCCCAGATCCTGAAATGAGAGGAAAAGGGCCCTCCCCACTGGCCCCCGCCCTTCTCCTGCCACAGGGCCAGCAGCCTATGTCAGCAGTGCCCCCCTTCGTGAGACACCTGCCGTCTTGGAGACAGAGCTGAGAAGAGGAGAGGAAGGGGGGCAGGGCTGGAACCCTGCTTGCTTGTCTGGTACAAGGGCAGGGACAGGGACTTTGGGGTCAGACCTAAGCCTCATTCCCCAGGCAGGCCTCTATCCTGGGCCTCTGCTTGGGGCCAGATGAGGTACCACTCCCAAGACCCTGTGTTGGCGACCAGTCCCCGTCTGCTCTCCAAGCACCTTTGGGTGTGGATCTAGGGGTCCACATGCTAATGGAGGCCAGGTAGGGCCTGGAGGGTGAGAGGGGCCCAGCCATGCCCTGAAGTTGCAGAGGGAAGCTGTTCCCAGACACTAGCTGCAGGGGTGAAAGCAAGTGCTTGGCCCTGGAGCGCCCTGCAGGGCAGCCACGCCTGGAAGCAGCCAGCCTTGGCTCACCCCCTGCGCGCTCCTGGCACCGAGGTCGGCTTGCAGCCCAAGGTCTGAGCCAGCCTACCTTAATCACTCTCGATCGAAGCGCCAGAGACCAGTACAGAGCAGTGTCTGCAGTAGATTTCTCTGAGTCACTGTCCCCGATGCCCGACATTGTGCTGGATCATGCCCTCTGGGCAGCGGGGCTCAGGGGAAAGGATGGGGCTGCAGAGCCAGGTGGCCTGGGTTCAAACCCTGGGCTTCAGCTTAGAATCTCTGTGGCCCTTCCGAGCCTCCCTGCCCCTCTGTGAGATGGCCTGGCATGGAGATGGGAGACCCTGTGTGTCCCACTTGGAGGGGGGCTCAGGAAAGACCTCGGCCTCCAGGGTGGCAGGGATTGACAGGGACAGGGTGCCTGCTGCGAGCACTGGGATCCACGGGGCAGGGAGGGCAACTGGGGGCCTGGAGGAAGATCAGAACAAGTGGGCAGAAAATGGGATGAGTGTCCAAGGCAGGGAGGGGGAGCCAGAGATGCCCAGAGGGGCCTGGTCTGGGGCAGCCAAGCCAGGCCGGGCCCACACATGCTTTGCACACTTGCCAGGGCACAGCAGAGTGCATAGCACTATGACACTACACCAGGGCGCAAGAGGAGTCGTGAGTTTGGTGCTGTCAGTGCTGCGACGAGGCACGTGCTGGTGGCACCATGGACACCGGGACCTGCCCTCTGGCAGCTCTGCCCTCCTCTCCCAGCTCTCAGGGTCAAGGGGAGACATTAAAATGCAAGTGTGGTGCTGTTGTGAGGATGGCCGTTAATTAATTACACTCCCTCTCTCACAAAGCCTAATCAACTTCTCCTAATTGACCCGCTTTCTGTCACTGAGAAGTGAATTCATCGGAGCTCTGAAAGCAGAGTGGCTGCCAGCGACAGCGACGGCGGAGGGATCCACACCACCTCCTTTGGTTTGGAAACACACTTTCTAATCCTACCGGTGCGCTCTTCTGATTCACCAGCCTTCAGCGTGTTTTCTAGAACTGGGCTCCTTAATCAGGGCGTCCAGGAACCTGGACAGGAAACAATGACCCCTTTCAGTGAGAAACTGACCTCTTAGGGGAACGTGGCATTTCCTCCTGTGGGCAGCGCAGGTGGCTCGCCTCACCGTGGGCGGCTGGGGACCTCCCAACCACGGGAGTGCGGAGGCGCCCACCATCACCACTTCCCACATCTGCTTCGTGTTATTTTTAGAATTATTCCAAAATAACTGGTTTCCTTTGCGATCCCATGTGTCTTTGTTCATCGAGGGCCTTGATGAACAGGTGTCCTGGGGTCTCTGGGGCAGTGAAGCTCTGCCTGTGATGCTGACATGGTGGAGTTACGTCATCACACATTTGTCAAAACCAGTAGAACCTGATAAAATTATGGGGATGAATTCGTAACAATATCAGTATTGGCTGGAAAGCAGCAAGCGTGACCCTAGGGCAGTGCAAACGGGGCACTGTCCACCAGGGTGAGACTCCGCTGCCTGCCCAGCTCTCCTGCTCTAAAATAGAAAGTCTATTAATTTTTTAGTTTATTAATTATGTAAAAATATCCACAGACTGCTAAAGGGGCCCCTGGACGGACTGCAGGACTTGGGGACAGTGGCCCTGGCTCAGGCCTGTCTGCATGGGTGACGGGAGCTGAACGCCCTGGACCTCTGCAGTCCCCCCCACCAATGGCCCTCGCAGCTGTTCCAGTGGAGGGGGGAGGCAGAAGCTGGAGTCCTGGAGGTGGGGGTCCAGGACAGGCGGCAGGACCACCGCCAGAAGCCAGTGTCCTGCTCTTCAGGCTGGCTGCCCTGTCCGAGGCCTGAGGGCCTCAGCCTCCAGTTTCTGATCTCAGAGGTGAGAAGGCCAATCCTGGCGTCAGGCGGGGCTAAAAATAAATCCGCCAGGGCTGCCAGGATGCCTCCACGGATGGGCGGGACAGGGAGGGAGGCCAGCCCTGGTGACAGCGTCACTGACCCAGGGCCCAGCAAGGCCACCCAGGCTGGCATGGGCTTCCCTTCCCCCAGCCTTTCCCAGGGAGGAGGTGCTCCATGTGCCTGTGCCCCCAGGGAAGCCCACCCACTTCCCACACCATTGTGCTGGGCCCTCTCTGGAGGGGTGGCTGGGTAGGGGAAGGAGCAGATTGCCAATGTCATCATGGCACCCAGATGTCACCAGGGGGAAGGGGCTACCAGACCAGGTGTGGGGTCTCGCCTCCCAGTTCCTGGGATGAATGACAGCCACACACCCAAGCAGGGTGTGAGCACCATGAAATCAAACTGACATGAAGACATGATTAATTTGCTGCCTAAAGAAACAGTCACAAAGCCTTAAAAAAAGAAAACGAAGCTGCCTTCCCTTTTAATTAGAACAGCTGTCTGTCCCAGCACACCCAGGGGCCAGTGTCCCTGACTGGGGTAGGGGTGGGGATGGAGAACTGGGCCAGCTCCAGCGGGAACAGCTAGGACTCGGCTGCATTCAGCCCCTCAGGCGGGCTGAGGGGGCTTCAGCCAGGGCAGCCCCGGGAGGTGCGCCTCCATTCCGGGCATCTGAGCGAGGGGTTGGCTATGGACAGGGCAGAGGACCCAGGCCCAGGGCAGGAGAGCACCCCAACAGGACTAGGCAGCATTGGGACTGGACAGCCAAGGGACCAGGGAGCCTACAGGCCCGAGGGTCATTTCAGGACTGGGTTTCAGCTGCTGGACCCCAGCTGGCCCTTAGGAGGGTGCTGGCCCTGGGTCAGGGCCTGCTGTGTCTTCTGCAGGGCCCCACCCAGCCCTGGAACTTGGGGTGACAATGCTTGGGGTGATGATGCTGAATCCAAATCCCCTGTACTGGTCTCTGTCCTTGCGCCTGAGTTCGGGGGGCCCAGTTCGGGTGGTCAGGAGAAAAAGTGCCCAGGCCAGGGCTGCATGTGGCTGTCCATCTCCGGGAAACTGAGTCGTGATCACTCCACTTAAGACGTGTTTCTCCAGGGAACAAAGCGCAGCTTATGAAGGATGCCCCGTCTCTCTCCCTCAGCACTCCCCCAGATCCAGGAGACACCTGAGGAGCGGCCGTTTCTCCCCTGAAGTGGGGCGCAGCCGCTCCTGGCACCTGGGGAGCAGTCCAGGACGGAGGCCTCACGGCAGGGCTCTGAGAGGGGGGACAGTGTCTGAACAGCGTGAGCACAGAGGTCTGGACTGCCCCTCTAGGTGGCACATGGAGGCCAAGCCACCTGCCCCTCATTGGAGCCTTGGCTCTGCTGAACCCATAAAGCAGGGGCAGGAATGGGGCTCCTTGGGGAGGGGACCCAGAGGAAACAGGAGATACGGGTCTCACTGGGAGAAGCCACAGCAGAACTGTCCCATTTGCAGGGGTATTGCCCCACCAGGGAAGTCAGTGTCACCTAGAAGGCCCGAGGGAAGCTGGAACTCACTCCCCCTGATGAGCAGCAGTGCTGGGGACAGGTAGCTTTGTCTCGTGGGGGACAGATCTCAATGTGGGTGGGGTTCCTTCGATAGGCATGGCTGAGCCTGGAGGCACAGGTGTCACTGGACACAGAGCTCCCTCTATTCTCGAAATCACTGAACAAAGAAAGCAGAACTCATTTTTTCTTTCTTATTTCTTTTTGGTCTTTAAAGTGACAAAAAGGGGAAAGGAACACACTCATACAAACAGTAGAGCAATGTCTTGTCCTTTCTACAGTTAAGTATGTTCTCAAAGTGACAGCCCTCATCGCCTCACACATGCAGGTACCTCCTGGCATCTCGGGGACAGGGGGGCCTGGAAGCCTGTGCTGGGCCCCTGGGGGGACCCAAGCTCTGGGGCGAGCAGGAGGGGGGTGGGTGGGTCCCTGTTCCTCTAGTGCACGGAGACCCGGCACCAAGGACGCGAAGGACCCCACACGTGCAATCCGGTGCTCTGGAGTCTGCAGGGCAGCCCTGAGCTGACAGCCATTCCCAGGACAGATGAGGCCGCCAGGGCCCTGGGCTCCTGCTGCTTCATAACCAGAAAATCTAAAGTCCAAGTTAGGAGAATAAATATGTTCAGCCTCCAGGACCTGCGGTGCTCCTGGGGTTGTCCTTACAGCCAGACACACCTGCTTCTCCAGAAGGCCTGGAGCCAGGCTGACCACGCAGCTGGCAGAAGGCACGCAAGGTCCCTCGGACGGACGGGGGGCATGGAGGACAGGGGACACCCCTGACGTCGGAAGCTCCAGAACAGCCATGCCCTCATTGTCGGTGACCTTGTGAGAAGCAGAAAGGGGCAGAGGTTACCAGAGGCCAAGTACTGGGTACAGGTCCCTTGGGGTCCAAGCACCAGGCCTGACCATCCACTGGGTGTCATCTCAGCCTCTCCCCCAGGCCCCTCAGCTCCCAATGCCTTCTCCATCTCAGAGTCCACCTCCCTGGGTGCCCACGGCCAGGCCACAGAGTGCCTGCCGCTTCTGTCCTGGGCAGAGACCCCTGAGCCCATCCCACCCATTGGCGGCCCTGAACTGTCTGAGGGAAGATGCAGGCTCCTGAGGCCTCGAGGGCCTGGACCTCAGGACCCACCCTAAAGCCTGCAGCCCCGTGCCAGACACACAAGGTGCTGAGGGGATGCTGCTGTTCTGGGTCCTTTGGGCTGCTCACGGCAGGGGCTTTGGGGAGCTAATGGCTGTGCACATGGCCCAGGTTCATGGCTCAGAGGGACCCCAGTTTCAGGGGGATTCTGACTGACATGCCCTAGAGTGTCATGCCCCCCAGCCCGGAGGCCCCCACCCTCCAGGCTGGCTCTCCTGGCTTAGGGAAGCCCCCAGGGTTGGGGGGCACACGCTCAAATAGAAAATCATTTTCCAGGTTGATGGGGACTGCAGACTTCAGCCCTGCTTCTCGACATGTCCCCACCCCCCATCTGACCACCAGGTCTCTGGAAGGCCATCCCAGAGTGGACAGACCTGGCCACAGGGACAGACAGGCACCTCACTCCAGTGCCTCAGGGCAACTCCCCCAAAGCAAGCAGCCTGGCTTTCAGGGAGGGAAAAGCATTCTCCACCGAGTTCTCCACCCCACTCGTCATGGCGTGGAGGGAGGCATGGTAGGTCTGCAACTCCATGTGCGACCCAGGAGGCTCCTGGAGGGACAGAGGGAGGCAGGGGGCCCAGGAAATAGGAAAGAGGGGGAGGGAGAGGCCAGGGGAGCAGCAGCCTAGAGTCCACAGGGTCTGGGCTCCAGGAATAGGAGGGACCTCAGATCCTACTGCCCTGGCCCCCAGGAGGGGCAGAGTCCCCCCGCCCACCCATGACTCTTCCACCAACACAAGAGGCAGAAGTGATCTGCGCCAGGTCCTGGCCCAGCCCCAAGACAGTGGCTGCTTCCAATTTTGCCCTCTGGGAAGCCAAGAGCAGCCAGGATGACACCCCAACTGTACTGAGACCCCTGAGACCACCATGCAAGGCAGACGCCCACTCAGCCACATGGAGGGCCTTGCGGTGTGCGTGAGAGGGCGAGTGTGTGTGATGCCCCAGCTGAGGCCTAGGCAGGTGAGGAGCGAGAAGACACTCTGGCCTCAGTGCCACCACCCAGGAGCACAAGGAATCATGAGAGATAACAAACCAGCCTTAAGCCACACGTTTTGGGGAAGCTAGTTCACACAGTGATCGCAGACTGAAGCACACCTCACGTTTCTGCCGACGTGAGATTTCCATTTCTCTTTGGGGGCTGGGGACAAACAAGGGATCAGAATATAAAAACTAAGCAGCCACAAACTGAGGCCAGTCAGCTCTGCAGAAAACAGAAGTTGAGCAAAAGTAAACTATATTCATAATTAACCACATGGATAAGCTGCAGCTTTTAATACAACACCGAATCTTGATGTAACCGAAACAGGCTTGTGTGCACGAGGGGCCGAGGGTTATGGGCTGTAAGATTGCAAAATGTTCAGCTGCCACAGAAAAGAGTCTGTGAATGATGCCTGAACTGAAAAGTCACGAAACAAGGAACAGCAGAGAAAGCGGGTCATTTAGGAACACGGAGATAAATTCTTCCCTTGATCACTTTAAAATCTGAACATATATGACACTGATACAAATAACAATTAAGTGGAAAGAGATTCTGTGAGAGAGCATCTTACTCCAATGTGTGACATGAACTAGGAATCAAAGCCTCTTCCATTCATGTCTAATTAAGTCCCAGGAAGGTGTGCAGAGAAATCCAAATGTCTTTCCACAGGCTCAGCGGCCAGCCCCGGGCTCTCCCAGGCTGGCCCAGCGCAGGGGTCAGAGCCCCGGCCAGCCCTGTGCCCCACCCAGTGCGGTGGCAGGAGTGTAAGCCCAGAGCAGTCCTCAGTGGGGGGTGACCCTGGCCCCAAGTGGGGGCACACGGGAAGCCTGGGGGGGTTGGAACAAGGTACTGACCTCCCCGGACTTTCCAACACGAGGTTGCTGGCCATGGGACAGGGTAGACATGGCTGATGGCCCCTCCTTGCCTTTTCATCTCTCAAGTGGGAAAGCAGTTGTGATGACAGCACAGTCCGATCCCCCCCTACAGGTGACAAACGTCCAGGCAGGAGCCGCAGGTGAGGATAATAGCCCACACGGGCAGGGGTCCGGGCAACCCCATCTCTGTGCATCCTCCTGCCCACCGGGGGATCCCTCCAAACCTCCGGGATGGCCAGGAGCTGCATTTGAGATCTGGTGAGGAAGGGCCATCGGGGGTCTGTAGAAATCACAGTGGGGTCCCCACTGGGGCTGCTGGCACAGGTGGGGGACCGCCACACAGCAAGCTGCCACTGCTACCCACTTTCCACTGTGTTTCAGGATCTGAAAGGGGCTCCAAAGGCAACCAAGCTTGGCTGCAAAGAAGCACACAGCCCAGAAGATCATTAGAACTGCCAAGTCCCCTCTATCAACAGTGTGACCTTTGGAGATGTCACTAAACATCCATCAGTCAAGAGCCTCATGAGAAAAATACACACGGGCCTTTAGAGGAGGTGACCTGCTGGGCACACTGGTGCCTTCCAGGCACCCCCTCCCCAAAGAGCTCTGCCAAATCAAACCACCTGAGGACAACGGCTGTTACTCGGTGTCAGCCCGCCCTCCCTGCCTGAGTGCTCACCCCGCCAGGGTGCTCAGGCTTGCCTGGGCCTCCCCGAGGACACAGTTTTCTTAGAAAACTGGAGACAAACCCAGAATTACCCTGTGCTTTCCTCTTAACTGATGGGCCAGGAAACGTTCCTCAGAATAAGACAGAACCTCTGCCCACTCACTTCCCTCCTCCCACCCTGGCCAGCCCAGACACCGCCCCTATGTAATTACGGGATGTTCTGGGGGACCCTCCCTCTGGGACAGGAGGTCCCTGTCCCTTGACAACAGCCAGCCTGGGCAGCCCCCCGGAGTGCCCCTGCTGTCCCTCCCACCCCACCTGACTTGGAAACGGTGGAAAAGGCAGTGGGTGGTAGTTCAGAGAAAAGCTGTTTTTCCAGGGGCTTCCCGCGCCAGAAGACACCCTTTGGGCCAGGAAGCAATCCAACTGCCCAGTGACACAGGGGTCCCCCTGACCCCTTCCATGACCATGTCCCCCAAGTTGCCAGTCCCCTCCACAATGCTCAGTCCAGTCCTGGCAGGAGGCCCCTCACTCCCTCACATCCATGGAGGTGGCGCCACCCCAGCCTCCCCGGCTCTGGGGAGGACAGACCTCCCCAGTGTTTCCCAGCAGGGCATTGCCGCCCATGCCCAGCAACCAAGGCTCCACCAGGCCTCACTGCCCACGCAGTGCTGACAGCCCCTTCTCCTTGTCTGTCCCTGACTGGCCCAGCTGACCTCACAGGAGCAGTGTCCCCCTCCAGAAGTGCCCCCATGGGCCGAGATTACCACCAGGGACTCTACAATGAAGTCTGGCTGGGGCTGCTCTCCCCACTACAAGTCTCTGGCTGGGGCGGTTGACAAGATGGGGGTGACAGGATCCGCTCTCCTACCCCCACACAGGGCCTGGGCTGCATGGACATTGGGTGGGAAGGAGGGTGAGGCCAGCCAGTGCCCAGGCTCCTGGGATGATGACTGATCTGCTTTGCTCAATGCTTAAGACCAGAACTAACAAGGCCTGTTTCCCTAAACCACAACCTTTCTGAAAATGGTGACATCAGTGCAGTTTCTGAGCAAAGATGGGAGTAGCCATGGTCAGAAGTGAGAACCTCCAGATGTCACACAGGAAGGTGCTGGGGCCTGGCTCCTGCTCCACTGTCCGCAGGCAAAGGACATGCACAAGACCCCCAGGTAGCTGCCAAAGGCCCTCCACATACACGACCCTGGGAAATAAAAGACACAGCCACTCTCTACCCTGTGGAGGGTGCACTACATGGATTGAAATAAGTGTGATACGCACATGCTCAGGACAGAGTTCCCTGGTCACTCGGGAAGGGTGACACATCCTGCCTTTCTGTAAGGCTTTATCTGAAATTTACCGGTGGCCAGTGACCCTGCAGCACTGCTGAGAATGGCAGAGGCTGGCAACTCCAAAGAAGATGGGTCATTATCAGAGTGCTGCTGCCTCGTGGAGGGGTCCTGCTGAATGTGATGGCACAGGACAGCACAGCTGGACCCTCCCCAAGTGCCCTTGGACCGTCTGACCCGAGGGCAGGTGCCCCGTTGAGGGCTCAGATGCCAGCTGGGTCAGTGACGAGAATATGGAGCAGGTGGTGGAGACCAGGAATCAGTGAAGGCCCTGGCAGAGCGCTTCCTTGAGGCTAAGGCACCTCAGCAGCAGGAGGGCAGCCCGAAGCCCCTGCCCCCAGGGACCTGGTCCCCAGAAGAGCAACTACAAACACCCCTGGACGCTACCTGAGTGTTGCTGTGCCCCTGCCCCTACTCCCGCTGCACTTGATGCACCCACCGGCTGCCAAGCCCCCTGAGGCTGGAGGAGGTGGCAGGAAGGTGCAGGGCGCTGCAGGTGGGATGGGGCCTGAGTCCCTGAAGCAGGCTCAGAATTACAGGCTTTGGTTTCCTTCTGGAACAAAATAATTACACCCTCCCAGAGGACCTGAATTCCCTGAAAGCAATGTGGATGTCAGCTGGAAACCGTCTTCAGAAGCAGAAATGCACTTTTATTCAGAGTTGGAAGAAAGAGAAAAGCTAGTTTGGGGCACGTGGCTCAAGAAAAAAACACCTTAAAAAAGTCAAAACCTAGGGACAGGATCTGGGTGATTTACCCTCGTCTGACCAGCCAGCACCACATTCACACAGTCTGGTCACAGCCCGTCAGGAGTGACGCCCTCACCGGTGACACCGCCCAGTTTCCCGGTTGGTTTTCCTGATCTGTGTCTTCATTTCCCAGGCGAAATCACCATTATGAAGCCGAAAGCCAGAGGACCCACATCTTGAGTGCACAGCCAACCTGCAGGGCAGTGGATCCTTCTGGAACAATGGTCCCTCCATCACCACACAACCCAGTCCACTTCACCACCACTGACCCCTCCCCGGGCCCAGGCACTGTCTGTAAAAGAGGCTGGGGGACCCTGAGCCGTGCACGAGCCCCTGATACAACAGCAGAGTGGGCGGCAGGGCGCAGCAGGTGAGAGGTGCCCCAAAGACATCAGGTCCCAAACCTGGAACCGGAATGTGACCTTCTACAGTGAAGGTGCTGCAGGTGTGATTACGTCAAAGAGTCTGTGATGACCAGATTGTTCAGGAGGGCTTCAAATGCCATCACAGGGTCCTTATAAGAGGGAGGCAGAGGGAGTTTCAACACTGAAGAAGAGGAGAGGAGGCCATGATTGGGGTGACACGACCACAAGCCAAATAACATCTGGAGCCCCCAGGAGCCGGAAGAATGTCCCTCACGAGCCTCTGCAGGAAGCAGTCTGGCCGACACCTTGATTTTGGGCTTCTGGCCTCCAGAACCATGAGAATTTCTATTGTTTCTAGACACCCAGCATGTGGTCATTTGTGACAGTGGCCACAGGAAGGCAATACAGAGGATGAGGCTGGTCCCAAAGACACCTTTTGCTCAGAGCAGAACACCCAGCACTCGGAGCTGCTCACCTAAAGGCAGGCCAGGGAGGCTCTGCTGTGTGAGCCCCAGAAAGCCCCCTGCCTGCCAGCAGCCCGGACACTGGGGCAGGAAGAGAAGGGGCAGGGCACTTGGTTCCATGGGAGGCTAGACAGCAGCCCTGTGGCCTGTCCAGCTCACATGGAACTTGTGAATTCCCCACTGGTCCAAGGGGCTGGGACACTGAGTGGCATTTCACCTACTAGTTCAGGGAGGACTGTGGTTTCTGGCCCTTGCCTCACCGTGGAAGCCCACCTTCCCCAGGAAAAGTGGTTCCCAGTTTCCCCTTCAAGAAGCCGGCCAGAAGGGCTGCCTCCCAAACAGCATTGCTGACTCTTCAAAGCACACTTCCCACCAGGAGGCCACTGACCGCATACAGAGAGGGAAACTGAGGCTCGTGGATGGCAGCAAGTCAGCCACCTGGCTGGGCAGACCTCCACTCAGTCTAATCCTCAAAACACGAAACCAAAAAGCCTATCAGGCAAAATCACTTTGTGTTTTGGTGCTAAAAGAGCCCCGGCAGGCCACACTCCCAGAGCTGTGTGCACTCCTGGGGGCACGAGCACAGCCCCAGAATCCAGAGCCCAGAATGAGACTCAGAGGAGGCCTGTTTGCGGGCCCAGGCCTTCAGCAGGCAAACCTGCCCAGCAAGATTCCTCCTGCTTCCGGACAAGCAGCCAGCCCTGCACCTACAGGGTGGCATTCTCCTGGCATGGGGCTCCCTGAGCAGGGCCGCGCTGGGCTCCCGGGCCGCCAGCTTCACTTGGGCTAACACTGTGTGGGCTCACCATCCCCTGTAACCGCTCACCATGACCTAGGACATAAAAGTCACTCTGAGGACTGGCCTGCTCACCACTCCCTGGGCGACAGCATGGGCCCACCTCCACGCCGGTCCCCAGGCCAGGCCAAAGGTAGGAGACACCTTGTGAGCAGAGGGGTAGGCCAGGGGTGGCAAAGAGCACAGAGACAAACAAGACCCTGTGGATGGTCCCCAGGCCAACAGGATATGACCGCAGCCCAGGGGACCTGGCTGAGCCAAGCCACAGCCGGGTTAAGTTCTAGGAAGCTGACTGGGGGACATCTGCGCTTTTCCTGGACCCTTTCCACTCAATCGTGCCTACCACCCTCCCCATGGGCGTCCTCACAGGAGAGCCTCTCTCGCTGGCTCAGTGTTACCAGGCCAAAGCCACGCCCACACCCAACACGAAGGCCCAGAACTGGCGGGAGATGGGCCTGGTTCGGGAGAGGAAAGGTTTGTGCCCAGACTCCTGAGAGCAATTCAGCGTGGTGACCAGGCCTGATGCAGGAAGCAGGTTGGGAGACAGGGTAGGGAAAAGCCCCTCATCATGGCTTCTACCCTGGGATCCCTGCTGCACAAGGTGCAGCAGTGAGGTTCGCCAGGTGCCCCACAAACCCCTTCCCCAGTCACACATTAGCTGGCTCATCACCTCGGAAACTGTGGCATCAGACAGGTGGGTGAGCAGGCAGGCCAGGCCAGACAAGGTCACCTGAAGGTCATGGAGACCAAGGAAGGAGCCCAGCTGAAGTAGAGGACTGGTCTCGTCCTCAGCAGTGCCAGTGACCCTCTGGGGACACCCCACTGCCCAGACACCAGCTGGTGGCAGCCATCAGATGGGAACACGCCCAGCATCTAGAGGCTCAATGGTAGCTTATGACAGGTGGCCTCGGCCCCTTGGCCATGTCCTGATATCCCACGTGGTGATCACAGACATGCCACATGGTGACACCTCCAACCTTACACGGTGACAGTCCCCAGCTCACAGAGTCTCTGTCTAGACTGGAAAGCCGACAAAGTTCTCCTAAAGGGAGGGATGGAGGGCAAGACACTGGTCTAGGGACAGACCCCAGAGCTACCTCCAGAAGCCTGGAGTACCCGGCCACCTGCAGACAGAGGAGAGTCCACCCTGGCACCAGGTGGAGGGGTGGGGGCCATATCTGAGGACAGGAAGCTCAGTGATCTTCCTCCTTCCTGCCAAGTAGAGACCCCAGAAGAGCACCTGACCTGCGTGCGAGCAGAAGGGAACAGGAAGGTGTGTTCCCTCAGAGTGGTAACAGAAGAGGAGCCCCCTCCCTGCATGCCCCCATCAGTCAAAACCATCACCTTTAAAAAACCTCTTTCTGCCAAAGGCTAACACAGAGTAAGGAACCACTCTATGGGTATTTTGAAAAATGGTCACAAAACACAAACCAGCTCCATTCTTTGAACAAGCTGTAGGCTGGCCTACTTCTACCGCATGTCTTCTGTGCTCCGCAAAGCTGGGTGACATTGCTAGCATGCAGGACGATTTTCCGGATGGTCCCCTTCGGAGCAGCGAGGCAGATGGCTGAGGACACCTCCCCTCCCCTGCAGGGCCCAGAGCAGAGGGACAGCGATGCAGACGCACACCCGGGATGGCCAGAGAGGAGGCCGCCCTCCGTGCACACACTCACCTGGTCAGGGAGCCCCAGTCACGTTTCAAACTGGGTTAAGAGCTCCCTGATTTCCGGGGCCACGTGTCGCGCGGCATTGGCAGCCTCTGTTATAGCTTTCCGATACATCCCCTTCTTCTTACGGTTAAATCTCAGTTTGAAAAACTCAGAGAAAGGGGACAGTTTGGAAATGGACAAGAATGATGTAGTCGGAGAACCAAACCACGAGACTTTCGCTTCTTGCCAAGAGGGCTCCCCGTCCTCCTTCTGGCTAAGACTGATGTCAAGCACACGTGCTGGCCACCAAGGAAAACCATGAATCTTACCCCACACGATGTCCCCTACGGCCACGGTCCTTCCGTCCTCGGTAACGCACTTGGAGATGCTCTGCGTGTGCAGCCTGACCGTCAGGGGCGGGACCGTCTGCCCCACAGGCTTGGACGAGGGCGGCACAGACAAGCCATCGCCAGAGGAAAGGTCACATGTGTCTGGTGACGTTACTTCTGAGCTGGACGATTTGGACTCGTCCAGGCTGTCACTGCTCCACACCGACTCCCGGGCATAGTCTGTTCTGCTCCTGGGGCAGCTGGTCAGAAAGGCCAGGCTGTCACGCCCATGTTTGCCCTGGGGACACCTCTTGCAGTCATCGTCCTCACAGGAACTTCCCGAAGACAAGTCCTCCAGTGCACCGTGGGCAGAGCCAGGGGCAGGGTGGGCAGGTGAGCTGGCCCGGGGGCCTGGCCCACAGCCATTGAGCTCCTCCACCAGCTCGGCCCTGTAGACCGGCTCCTGCTCACCAGCCCCCAGGCGGTGGGGCTTCAGGCGGATCTTGGGGGGTGGCAGGTCGGCACTGGGGGGCGTGGGCCGTGTCAGCTTCAGCTTTGGAATGGAGGCAGAGGGCCCACCAGGTGGCCTGTCCCGAGCTGCCTCGGGGTCCTGGGCACCGTGCAGGGCCTGCGGGGGGCAGAAGGGCTCCAGGGAGCCGTGCACCCGAGATGGGATCTCCACCACCTCGCCCTTGCCCTGGGGTGTGCTGTAGGAGATCTTGATGGCCGGGCTCCGGGGGACCCGAGCCTGGTCCTCCTCTCGCCTCTCCCTCTTGCTTCTCCTGGTGGTGGTGGAAGCCGGGTTGTCACCCCCGCCGTCTGGGTCCTCGTGCTTGCGGAGCTCCCTGTCTGGGTCTGAGCCGCTGCCCAGTCTCCTTCCAGGCCGGGGGTTGGCCGGGGGTGCGGGGCCAGCCTCTGGGGGGCTCAGAGTGCTCTTGCACTTCTCGCAGAGTACACGCCGTGGCCGCAGGCAGATGGGGCTCAGGGCCAGGCGGCCAGGGTCACGGTTGCGGGACAGGCGCCTTTTGGTCCTCTTGATAGTCCGGGGTGGTGGCTGTGGCACCCACTGCTGGTAAGTGTTCCTCAGCCAGAGTGGAGGCGGGAAGGGGGCACCTTCAAAATATGGGGGGAATGGGGGCAGACTCCCAGCAGGCAGTGGCGGCTCCAGGGACGGGGGCGGCTCAGGGCAGGAAGGCGGTGGGAGGGCCGACTCCAGCTGCATTGCCTCCGGATCCCCCTCTGTGGTGGCTGGGCCCTGGCAGCCGTTGACAGGGGTGTCCTCGGCCTGGGGCAGTGGAGTGGATGGGGGTAGGCCGAAGAGGCCGGACCTAGCAGGGGGAGACAGAAAGGACAATCAGAATGGTGATGACCCCCCCACCGTCCACCCCCAGGCTCTGCCCAGAGCACCTGGAGGCAAAAGGCCCCAAGCACACAGTGTGGGAGTACCAGGTGAAAGCATGAGCTCACGAAGTCACTGACCAGCAGCAAGGCCACTGAGTGTCCGCATCTCAGTTCCCAGCAACAAGGCGGAATGTGGGATCAAAGCTGGAGACGCCCTAGGACCCAGTGCCCAAGGATCTGGAACTGGCCTGGCCCAGCCTATGGGGGGCTGGCTTCCAGGGCCAGTGGCCCCTTGCTCACAGCCCTCGGCTGCTCATTCTTCTCCTCTCAGGGGAAGACTCCAAGCGCACCCCCTGGAGGACCCCCAGTTCCAGGGCCCAGGCCAGCCATAGGATCCTGGTCCCAGCTGCCTGACATGTCTGGGGATGGGGACCATAGCTGCAGCCTCTGGGGACAGGACTCAGCCACCAAGCCAGAGCCCGGGGCCTGGGAGTGAGCCTACTCCACTCCTTCCTGAATGCTAAGTTGGCCCTATTGTTTCCAGTGCCCTCGAGTGAGGGCGTCATCCATGTTACCCTTGCCCACAACAATCTGGAAGGACCCCTCCTGCCTGGCACCCCCAGGCCCTTCCATCAGGACCCCCAGCTCCGGGACAGGGAGCAGCCAGAACCAACAAGGCCACATGACCTACAGGAAGGGGGCCTGAGAAGGCAGGAGGCCCAGCTCCCATAAGGAACTACAGCTGAGGCTCGCAGTGTGGCCAGCACCCAGGGCTCCCCAGCAGGACCTGCCCAGCCTGCTCTCTCCCCAGGAGTGCTGGGCCAGGCACCTTGAACAGCTTCAGGGGGCTTTGTTATTGAAAGTCGAGGGGCAGTGTGCCTTCTAGAGTACAGGGTCACCCCCAGGCCCAGTTGTTACACCATTCTGGAGCCCGTGTGCCGTGATGGTCAGGAGGTTGTGCCAGATTCAAAGCTGCTCATGGTGCAGCCGAAATACACCTACGTTGTTTCAAACAGTGAAAAACCCCAATAGTCCACACCTTCCTTCCACCATGAACACACATCACTGAAACAAATGTGACTTAATTAAGACTGCTTTAGCTAAAAGCTGTTATTTTTTAGCACAAAAATAGACATTGTGCCAAGTTACAAGCAATGAGGTTTAGAACGTGGCATCTTTACCTTCCTTTTTGAATTTAATCAGAGAGAAAGATAAATTACTTTGCTGCTTTTGAATCTACAGATGATCCTCACAGACTGATCTCCAGAAGGATCCAGGGGTGCTAAGAGGGGTTGACCATCTGTGATGTCACCATCTCCAGCACACCCCTGAGCACCAGGGCCGGTGGATTACCAGACCCTCAGATGGGGACATGGCCAGGCCAGGAGCAGGGTGCAGGCTACACCAGAAACACAGAATACAGAGCTGGAGACAAAGCCGTGTGAGACAGGCCAGGTGATGACCCCAGGGGCTGTCGCCTCCCCAATGGTCCTTACTGTCATGATGTTAATGACATGAACTATGGAGGGCACATCTGCCATCTGAACACTGCCCAATTTTTGTTTAATTCAAGACCACTGGTAAATGCCTGGAATCACAACAGACTTTTAATTTTCTTATTTTTCCTATCAGTCCAGGGGGCCCACAATCTAGGGGGTCCATAGTCAGGGGATCCATAGACCAGGGCATCCATAGTCTGGGGGCTGACAGTCCAGGGGGTCCACAGACCAGGGGTCCACCACACATCTGTGAACTGGAGGGTTGCTCCCAAGGCCTCTCCCAAAGCCTACTTCCTGCCCACTTTTGCAGACATTCAGACCATGAACTGGGGTCTGACATCCTCCTTTTCATCTGCATCCTCACAGACCCAGCCCACGCCCCCTCCATGGCCTCCACTCCTTCCTGCCCCCAATCCCCTGGCCTATACCCCCTAGCACCTGCCTGTGCTGGAACAGAGCCCTCCTGCCATCTGGGGCCCTGGGATCCCACGAGCGGGATCACTGGGCAGCCAGCCCCTTTCCCTACACCCCTCCAGGAACCCTCTTCTGTATGGGCCCATGCACAGACTGCACCCTTGTCTCCTGGTCACCTCTCTTCACATACAGGCTGGGATGAGAAGTGTAGGACGAGTCACCTCATCCCTGGAGTCCCCACAGCTCTAGTCCAGGAAGGTTTTTTCCCCCTGTTTATGGTACATGTTCTTCAGGGGGGACCTTGCATGTTTAGGATGGACATAGGGCCCTTTGCCAGGGACCCAGGTCTGAGCCAAAGCCTTCAGTGTGGGCTCCTGGGTGGGCCAGCCTGCACCCACCAAGCGCAGGCCAGCATGGCAGCCAAACCCTCCCTGCCTGGCCCATCAAACTGGGGAGCAGCTTCAGTGCATAGTGCCCAGGGCCAGGGAACAGACGTGCCCCTGGCCTCCCTGGTGTGCATGCCTCTCAGCCCAGGACTGGGGCCCAGGGTTGGGGGGTTCCTCCCAGACAGTGTGGCAGCCCTGTGGAAGAGGCCTGCTGCCGACAGAGAAGGCCGCGTGACTCTGGCATGACAAGCAGCCATACTTCCTTCCCGGAGCTGCTGCCCTGCCCAGGCCACACCCACCACTGCCTGGTGGGTAAACAGCGGCTGGTGGGGCAGGACAGCTCAGTCCCTGGCTGCAGAGCCCAGAGCAGGTGCCCCAGGCTGCTGAGGCTTCAGCTCCCAAACCCTTTCAATAGCCCCATGAGGTACATGTCATCATCGCCACCCTAGTTCACGGACAGGGGAGTGAGGACCAGAGACCAGAGAGCTGAGCAAGTCTGTACTCAGATCCCAGCTCTGCTGACTCCAGGCCACTGTCTTCTGGGAGGACCTCAACAACCTGTCCCCAGAAGGAAGACCTTTACTAAACCCCAGGGCACAAGGCATGGCACCACTGGGGACTAGGGCTCACCCACAGGGCCCGGCCCTTCAGTGAAGTCAGGCTGGGCCCACACTGTCCCGTGCCCAGGGACAGAGGCCCTGGCCAGGCCAGTAGTGCCCACAGGGGACACCAGGCCTACTGTGGTATGGAGGCCTCTAGGTCCACCTCTGTACAGGGAGTCAGAAAACATGTTGGCAGGGGAAGTCACAATCTGGACACCAGAGTAGCCCCTCATCCAGGGCCACACAGGGGAGCCTGCCCCTCCCCCAGGATCACCAGGGAGAGCCACAGGACTAGGTGGTCACAGCTGGCCCCAGAGTCCTAGACTAAAAGGTTTAATAACCATCAGCATCATTTCAATAAAACTCAGCTGACTGCATCCCTCTGTAAGCCCCCTAAGGACTCCCCCAGCAACATGAGGCCAGGTCCCCAGCCCACACCCCCTCACCACCTCCTGGCAGAAGGTCTGCAGACCAGCTACGTGGGCCAAGTCCCCTTGTGTGCCACCTGCCCATTGGCTGCAGGTCATGCCACCCTATGACTCACTGGACACCTCACTCTCAGTCAGTCCCTCTAGCTCCCCTAGGGCAGTGAGGCCTGGACCAGGTGTCTGTCCAATGAATTGTCCCAGGAGCAGCCAGCATGGCCAAGTCTCCAATCTGGATCATTCTGGATGGGGGACGGAGTGTGCTCAGCATGGAGTGGGGTGCTCTCCTGCCTAGAGATTATTGGCTGGCTGAGTCTCCAGAAGCCTGGGTCCCAACCCCCCAGGTTGTAGTGTGGGTCACAAAGGCCCTCATACCCACTATCTGTGAGACCATCCCTTCACCACTCTGAGCCTCTGCTGTCCTTGGGCCACCCCTCAGCCAGGGCCACCCCACCTGAGGTCCTCAACCAGAGGTGTACTCCTAAACCACCCACAAAATGCCCACACCACCCTGCACCCCAGCCTGCAGAGTCAGAGCAGGGCAAGTCTGGGCCATCTGCATCATTACTGTGCCTGTGGAGATGCTGGGAGGACCATTCTCGGTAGTCTGCCTGGGACAGCCCACTTCTTGGCACACAGTAGGTGCTCAATGATTGTATGTGAACGTATGAGTGGTCAGGCACTCTGAGCCACTGAGGATCCTGGTTAAGATCGCACAGCAGCTGGGCAGCATGTTTCAAACTCAGGTGGTCAACGGACAGAAGGAGGTGCTCAGCACCCGCACCTGCTGAGACTTCACCTGGCCTGCGCACTCCTCTCCCCTCTGCCAGCATTCAGGGAAGAGAACCCACCTCTCAGAGCCCCATGGTAGGGACCCCCACCTCCCAAACACCCAACCATTAACACTGGTTGCTGGGCCCCACTACAGGAGAGAGACCAGGAATTTGTGGAAATGTCCCCTCCCGTGGGATGGCTGCATTCCAGCAGAGACACTGGGGTGTTACTGCACAGGACTCTCCAGTCCCCAGGTCTGATTGCGAACCCAGGAAGCTGCCAATACATGGCAGTCACCAGGGACTCATGCTCTTCCCTGCCAGTCAGTGCTCATACCTGACCCTGCCACTGTCACATACTGATACTGAGAAGAAACTGGCCCTAGGGAAGTCAGGTGGCTGCTGTGGACGCTGAGGCCCAAGGCCAGACCCCCACTGTCTGAATCACCCAGGCCAGGGTGTAAGCTGCCTCTGGACCCTGCCCAACAAGCAGGCTATAAACCTGAGCATTGCAGCTCATAACAGTACGGGCAGAGAAGTGGAATCAGGTGAACCGGGGAGACAGCAAAGGAGGCCAGGGTTGGCAGGCGCCGGAGCAGTGGGGCTGGTCTAGGACCAAGCCTCTTGGGCTGAAGAGCCAGGAGGCCAGGTTCATCTTCAGATTCCCCACAAAGACGGGGCAGGGGGGGCAGCTCAATTCAGAAAGAGAACCCACTGAGCAGAGCTGTGTCCACCGAAGCCCAGCTCCTGGTTCTGTGGGTGGCTCCGGTTACAGCCCAACGAGGCCGCAGGAGGGTTGACGCCCACATGTCCTACAGCTGCCAGATCCCAGCCGGGCCTGCTTCCTTCCCCGAGTCAGTGGGGAAGGGGGTGGGGAAGTGTGGATCTACAACCCAACTTAGCCACAGGCCTCAGGGAGGGTGCCTGCCACCTCTGCAGGCATCCCTAGCTACGAGTCAGGGTGGCCCCCAGGGCCTCCTTTGTCCTGAGTCATGGAGCCCAGAAAATGGGGTAGGGGAACCTTTGCTGCAAGTGCCCCTCTCCAAGGAGGAGGCCAGGCAGGGAGGGCTATGCAGCCCTGCACAGACCCAGGAGCAGGGACAGGCCCAGGCCTGCAGCCCTCCCTGAGGGAGGAACTGTTGGCTGTTCGTGACAGGGGGCACCCCAGGGCACAGGCTTGGCAGCTTGCGGGTGGCTATGCTGCAGCCCCCAAGTGTCACTTGGTTCCACTGAGCACTCTATGGTAGCCAACTCTGAGCAAGACGACAGTCACCGGAGGCCTTATGTTAAGTCACATGACTTGTGCATAAATGGCTTCTGGCACATCTAATGAAAAGATAATGCCAGCAGGGTGACTGTGGAATAGTGATGGTCACATCCAAGCCACCGGAACAAAATCCGGCTCCACCCAGGGAAAAGTCCAGCATCTGCAAGGAAAGCCGGTTCCTGAGCCCAGTCTCAAAATAAGGCCCAGCAGGAGTGCCCGGACATTAGTGTCTGGTTAATGCCTCATCATTTATCTGCGGACAGCTCACCACCATGTGACACTGTATCCAGGAGACTCCTGCAGCAGGAGGCCCTGCAGCACACAGGTACGGCTCAGCATGGACCTGCCCCAGGCCTGCTCCAGAGAAACCAGCACAACTTGTATCTCTACTCTTGCACCGCAGGGGGCTCCTCTCCCCTCCCCTCCCCCCCCCAGTGTTTTTAAATGCCGCCGCTGGACGTGACTGCTGGTCACCAATCTAAACCTCAGCCACAGTTGCTCCGAGGAGCCTGGGGCACCGTGACATCAGACAGAACAGCATCAGTTGTGAGTAACTGCCAGGGCAAGTCCTGTGCATCTGAACCCACTCACCCCACCCCCAACGGATGACAATTCTGAAAACAGCTGAATTCAATAGTGCGTCTTAACAAAGAAAAGTGCGTTAATTATGGCAGACTCGCGGAGTTTCGGCGCGGGCGCGGGGACTCAGCTCCACGCCCCACGCCCAGGCCCCACCCGCCCCCGGCC